TTCAGTTTTGCCACGTGAAGTACTGTGACTGCAGATTGCAGAAACACTCTTCGTATGTTTTAAAGGTTAATTACATTTCAGCATTTGAAGAAATGTCGAGGAAATACAGCTAACTTTCAAAAAGAAGTGCTTCAACAGAATTTGGGAAAATTGTTGACATGAGACCAACAAATTATTTGAGGTTTATGAATAAATCTCTGAAAATTTCATATCAAAAATACATTTCGGTCTGAATATCTTTAAAATTCGTCGATTTCATTTAACTTTACTGAGATACTCAGACCGAAATGTAATTTAGATATGAAATTTTCAGAGCTTTATTGATAAGCCTCATAGATTGTCAACAATTATTAACCATGAACACATAATGTGGGCGACCTGTGCCGAGATGAAGAGGGATGGGGATGGGGCAAAAAAGTAGATACGTGAACTCTAAGTTTAGTATTTTTCCCAGATTTTGTTGAGGAACTTCTTTTTTTAAAATTAACTGTACTTCCTCGACATTTCTTGAAACGCTGAAATGAGATTAACCTTTAAAACACAGGAAGAGTGTCTCTTCAATGTGCAGTCACAGTCCTGCACGTGTCAACGTTTCACGTTGTAACTAGTCTCTACCATCGACTTTGCAGACAATTGTTTTCACTTCAGTGCCTCAAGTACCAAAGTTGCGTAAATCGTTCCCACTGCTAAAGAGCACCTAATTTCGTGGACGTAGCAGTAATATTCGTTGCAGTTAGTGGAACTCTTGCTTCATCAGAGCTCTTTCTTTAATTAAGCTATTTAATGTTTGCTTTTATCAACTGCAACACGGGCTCTTAGCCATTACGTAATGGAAGGCCGAGTGATAAGGTAATGCGCAGGCGTGATTGCGTGAGTAACTTGGATACCCAGTTAGTTTGCGCCAGGCAGATGACAATGAAGTGCGCATATTCGAGTGTAGCGTACCGCGGGCGCACGGTTAGGCATTGCACGAGGGCTTCACGTGGGCAAGTAGATGTGAAGCCGCGTAAGCAAATAATTAGGAACCCGCGTTCTGAGCGGGAAATGAAACTGGTGAGGTTGGAGTTGAACAGTAATTCTCAGTATTTTGCCATTTCTAATCAACTCGCAAAGCAACAATACTGGCAGAGCTAAAGCTTTGTCAACGGGAGGAAATTGTTATAATTCAAGTTTGTGGAGAGATAGTTTTGAGTGAGAATAGGATGAAAAGAAAGAGACCGAGCGACCAAAAAAACAAGAAGTAAAAGACGTAAAGGGAATCGAGAAAAACACGCAAGAAAGTTAGAGAGGACACCAAAATAGGCGGAATATGGTAAAAAGGAACGCGAAAGAGAACAAGGAAAGACATTAGTATAAAGGCGAATATCTAGCGAAGAGCAACGCTAGAAGGAAATACAAGAAGGAAGATACTCCTGAAAAGAGATTGATCAAACATTTGAGAATTAAGTTACGGACCGCAAATGTGTGGTGCAAATAAACTCACGGGTAAAATGGAGTTATTTCTACTGCAGAATGAGTAAATTTCATTGTTTAATCATGGTACTTTTCAGCGCTGTGATTTTATGCTTCCTACTCGATTCGTTCGAAGTTTGGGAAATGGTTCAGTTGTCTCACAAAACATGGAGCCCTTTTTTCTTCTCTCAACATCCTTACTGCTCGGGTTATGATGAATATGCTTGCGATACGATATTTTTTTCCTAATGATGGAAACTAAGGAATCAATCTCTGAAATAGATAATCATCACATTTTGCAAGAAGCGTCTGAGGTGTGGTCGTGTAGTTAAACGGGGTCTTGGCAATTTGAGCTCACAAGCACGCTGGTAAGCACGTGGTTAACGTAAATAATTGTTGTTTACAGTTTTTGAATTCGACAGCCGTTTTTGAGAGTCCGTTTCTGTAGCCTTCTTGAATATTTTCTGTCGAATTCATTGAGGTACAATCTCGAAATTTCATAAGTGATTATAAACGATAAATTCGTATCGTCACCATAATTTAGGGAGGTTTTGTTAACACATTATCAGTTTACAATTCGCAAACCATTTTTGTAACCTGCTTGGATAATTTCTTTTGAATAAATCGAGTCACACTCTCAGAATTTCATCAGTAGTTAAAAACGATAAATCCGTGTATTTAGCACAAGTGAAGCAGATTTTAAATTTTCCTTTCGATTTTAGGAAATTATACTTAATTGACTCTCGGTAAATTGACCTGCCATAACGCGTTGATTATTTTATAATTTTGTAGCCCCAAAAGCCCGGCTTATGACTCTGGAGGTATTGAACTTGATATACACCTAACACGAAACTATGAAACACCAACACTAACAAAAAATGATAATACAAATTCTTGCGCCTACAAACATATACCCATTCTTTTAATTTCCTCCTTAACCTGCCCGCAAATAATTAAATTTTGTTTTAATTCAAGTGTGAGAAGATAAAACAGAAGTGTAGTAGAGTTCTCTTTCCAGACTGAGTTCAGGCGAGAACATTAGTAAACTAGTTGATGTCATATGCTTCGCCTGAATCTTTAATTTTATTGCCCCGGTCTTTTTCACAAAGCCTCTTTTACATCTCTGTGTGCCCAGCTAATGATTAAAATCTCAGTGAATAGGCATGCCATATTTTAATAGTTTTTTTTTTATGAAATTCCACTTTCAAGTTTTTGGCATTAACTATTTTAGAATTCATAAATGGTATTCTCTTTTCATCCATGTAAAGAGACATTACACATTTCTTAAACTAAAATCTGAATCATGAAGTCAACTTATTTTCAATTAGTTTGAAATTTCATTGTACACAAGAAAACTTTTCTGACTTTTCTTACTTTTATTTGCTGTCTTTCTGGTACATATGATTCATGCATACAATTTATGTGGTGTTAGGTTGGAGAATTTGGAATTGGATCAACCAATTATCCCCTAATTGATATTTTTCTTTATTCTCATCACTCGTCTGCTTGATATTGTACTGATTGTGTAAGGAGAAATTCTGTCTAGGTCACTAGTGGGACTAAAAGGGTTAAAATGGGGGATTTCATTATATTGTATACGTAATGATTAAAACTTTCTTACACTTTCAAATGTTAAAAAAAAATGTGATGTGAATCTGATGTTATGAAACAATGGAAAAACCTGTTGCTGGTGGCTTATGTCTTTAATGTTTAAATGTTCATGGGAAATACTTCTCTTTGAAAGCGAGGATACAGAAATTTTTAAAGCTGATAGAAATAAGCTGGTTACAAGTAATGAAAAGAAAACTGAAAAATTTACTTAACTGCTTGACATGCTTCCCTCAAACATGTCAGTGGTGTGTATCTACCGTTGTAAAGGTGTCTGTCATGAAAAATATTTCTTGGTGTGGCTGTTGTTCTTTCTTGATCTTCATAGCCAAAAAAGCTGGTAAAGGCACTGAACTTCGATTTTTAAGTACACAAGGCACCCTCCAAGGTGGAAGAGTAGAAGACCATAGACTGATGTTTACTAGGCACTTGTACCAACCACAATTATATATTCAAGCAATACTCTACATATATCAAACTCATTACATCACCCTTTACACCCTAACATCAGTATGCATATTCTCCATACTGTCCTCTATGCATTTCCTAATGTGCTGGCAAGGAGAATTTGTTTAACAATCAAGAGGTTCTTCAGTTGATTATCATTTCCTTTTTTCTCATGACCTTAATGCTTGATTTAGGGATGATATTAAAAGGAGATATTAGATGCTAGTCACTCTTAGGAATTAAAGTGTTAAGAACATGTCTCTGTAAGAATCAAACATCTTGGGAAATGAAAATTTCAAACCCCCTTCAAATTTCGCATGCAGTTAGGCACTCAGAAGGGATGCACAAAAATGCACTTTTTAAAGGTCGCAGCATTCTTGTTGTCATGGTAACAACGGCTGCTTGCTCGGGGCCTGAGGCCTCATTTTCAGACGAAAACGTCGTAAAAAAAGAGTGAAATGTTTATTTCTCTATCTCAAGCTAAATACAACATTACAAATCGGCCCTTCTACCATACATAGGAATACATTTAATTTTCCCTGGGGGTGAATTTGAACACACCACTAGATTATTTATCTCGGTACAGTTTCGGTCATTTTTGATGTCGGTAAAACAGGGAAAACGTTTATCTGAATTTCTTCAAAAGTACACCGATTCTGGAACTGAAACTACCCGCCTAGCTGGTTAAAATATATTAGTTTTTAAATATGTAAAAATCTCTGCGGGCCTACCTGTACTTTAAATAGGGGCAATTCACGAAAAAAGCTCAAAATCAGATATTGCATAATTCGGCGATGTTTACATCTAATGTTCTCAACAACAAACGTTTCAGACAAATGAAACGTGCAAAGCTTTGAAAGAATGTTATCTTATGAGCAATATCCCGAAGAGAAATCTCGCCTCTGGTTGTCATCTTTTAAAAAAAATTGATCAACCTTCATGGAGGACAACTCGACTTAACTACAAACATATACATCAAATCGTGTGCATATCATCCAGATTCCGAGTGCTGTACCTTCTTTATGGGAATTTGAGCAATTCGAAATCCTCTGAAGATATACTGTTATACTTGTATGTATAAACTATGATTTTGTATTTCTTCGAGTTTGCAAATTACCTACAGTCTACGAAATCGGCTTCTTCATCTGCTTCCAGAGTCAGGCGATGTGTATATGCTACTGCAGAGCTAAGTCATAGCTAAATTCATGTAAGATACTTTAATTTCTTACAAGTTAGCATGAAAGGTTGTGCAGTAGTTCAGAACAGATGCTTCACTAAGTATCCTGAGGACATATTATTATATTATAATTCAAACAAGCATTTCCTGCTGGAATGTCACATGAAAGGACATTTACATTTGAGGATGGACGAGTTGCTACAGCCAGTGGACATATTAGGTATAAAAGTAATGTTTAATATGGGATCGAGATAATATTTTTTAAAAGAAATCTTCAAGGTCATTTTTCATACGGAAAAAAATTTTCTTAATTCTACTGTCCTGAGGGCAATTTTTTTAATCACATATCCATGTTTCATGGCGTAAAATTTCCCGCCGACGGACCCATAATGAGAAAGAGGACAATTGGCTGGGACCCGTCCTTTGAGAAAATTACCGCCTCTAACAACCTTTTGAGAGGTGATGTGACTATGCTCCTACTACTCAAAGGAGGTGGTTATCACAGGTGCTAATTTCACACTGCTTTCAAAAAAGTATTTTGTATCTGCAACAGCTTCAAACGGTTGAATATCATTCCCTTGGAACATTTGGATCGCATCTTCTGTGTTTTACGGGATAAAAGCGATCAACCAAAAAAACATTGATGAGATCATCTGTAAAGTGTCATCCTCTCAATTCGTAAAGCCATAATGGCATTGCACTGAGTGCAAACGTATTGTCGATTAGTTCAAAACTCCATTTTTTTTTCATGACTGCCTTCTTTTACTAATCCATAATGAAGTTTAAAGCGAATGGAAAGAGTTAGATACCCGTAAATACCCAAAATACAAAAGAAAAAATACTTAGGAAGCCAAATAGAAGCTTCTACTTCCTTATTTGACATTAAGATCGTTTACCCAACGGTCACGGTTCCGAGACGCCGGAATTTAATGTAGCGGAACCTATTACGTTGACAGTTGAATAAAGTAAAGTATATCTTACTTAAATCTGAAACTTATGTTTTAAAACGATATCTATAAACTGATTGAGTCTGACTTTCAATCAGTTGAATTCATTTCTTGAACATTAGGGCGCCAGGATCAATTGAGAACGCCTGTTTCAATTCGGATCGGTTGAGGAACGAGTCTCGACTTTGCCGTAGGCTTCTTAGTTTGGCCATGATTTAGACGCCTAACTTCCTACGGGTCAGGGTTTACGCGTAAATCTTGCTATTATATTATCTCTACGACCACTGAAAATCATCGAATTAAATTACCAACAGCTCTTGGACGGTATACTAAGTTCGATGTCAAAAGTGACGCCCGTATTTTTGTAAAATTGGATCGGTTTCCTTAAAGGTTAAGCATCTGAGACAAGGATAAGATATCAGAAAGTAATAATGAAAAGATTGAACGGAACGTTCCTCTCGCCCGTATTCTGTTTATGTCGTCGTCCTATCTAACTTTCTTGCGCGTTTTTCTGGACTCGCTTTTCGCCTTTTACTCCTTGCTTTTTTTTTTTGCTCTGTCTCCTTCTTTCCAGCCTATTTTCACTCAAAACCCTTTCTCCACGAACCTGAATCAAAATACTTTCCTCCGGTTGACAAAGCTTTAGCCGCATTGTTGTTTTGCAAGTTGATTAGAAACTGAAAAAGACTGATAATTACTGTTCGACTAAGACCTCACCAGTTTGATTTCCCACTCGAAACGCGAGTTGCCAATCATTTACCTTCGCAGCTTCACATCTACTAGCCCACGTGAAACCCCCGTGTCTCTTGGCGTACATAAGTGGGGTATCCAAGTTGCTCACGCAATCGCGCCTGCGTGTTATGTTCTCCCTCGTCGTTCCGTTAGGGAATGGCTAAGATAGTGCCCGCAATGCAGTTGACCGCGCATGCTAAAAGTAGCACCTTGTACGTTGGGTTGTACGGTCGTGAGTTCAAATTTTCTCGGCTTGATGGGTTACTACTACTGCGTATAATTATAAGGCTAAGATGCGCGCGCTGCGAGCTCCGTTATTATGTTATTTATATTTCTCAACAGTAAATTGTAATGCATAGTAAAGAAATAATTAATCGTGGTCTCTCTTTTTGTAGACACTTACTCGTAAGGCCTTCCTTTTCCTTCGGCTACGATGTCTTTTAGAATGACCTGAATAAGTAAAATGCAAAGAATCCATTATTTTCTACTGACAATAATAATTAATGAATCTTAGTTGGATTTAATTTTCCAGTGGATTACTCGCTCGCTATCTACTAATTACTGATTTCGACTATTACGATACAGCTTACGCCATATCAGATTAACACGGTGCGCCTCACACCATTTGGCTCCATACATAATTGTCTTACTCTTTGACCTTCTTTTAAAATATTTCCATGAGCTGCAATATTCCATTACAGACACTGCAATGAATCTATCTGCAAGGTGATTTTGAAGCTTGAAGACACGCAGAATTAATTAAACGAGCCATAACTGACATACTAAGACAGGTTAATGTGTATAGCGACAGACTACGACGGCATTTTTCTGACCGAGGTTTGTGGGACATGCATCTGTTTCACTAACTTTTCAAACTGGCGAAATAAAGCGATCAAATACAATCTGTCATTTATTTTCGCCTAGTGGAATTTTTATTGGCGTGGTGTCATTACTGAGATGGGTTCTTTTACCAGGCGGTAGACGGGGGAAACAAAGTATAAAGGTATACAAAATTGACTGCAAATTAACCGCTAGGGAAAGGCAGAGGGAGAGGGGGGTCTCAGATTTCTCCACGGTTAGTAACTTAGTACCAACGACCAAATTGTATCTGTGAGGCACGGATTTGAATCCTTGATGTCTTATTTTTTCAAGCTACTTTTCTGCAATTGCTAAAATTACAGCTCACTTGTGAGAATTATTGCCTTACTTGATTTTAGTGTAAGGTCATAACTTTTGAAGAGCATTTTTTGGGTGTGGCGTACCAATTTCCGTTCGGACGATTTTACCTTATTCTTTGTTACTGAGGTAAATTCGACTATATATGCTTAGTTTCAATAACTCGCCAACTTGCTTTGAAAGAGACATGGTGAGGATAAACCGCTTGATTTTCAAGGCTGGATTTTGAGTTGAAATAGTCTTTTGTAGTTCACTCCGTCGCTGACCAAGCTGAACTGACTAGAGTGTTAGGGTGGATTGATATCAAAAGCAAGAATAGAACAAACCAACGCTTTTTGATGATGATGATGCCACTTGATCCATCGTGTGATATTTAACAATCGGTTCGTGCTTAGTGCGCGCGTATTTGTGACTTTAACTTTAAGTAAAATTAAAAAGAAGTTTCAAATCTTGTAACATAAAAGCGATCATTCGATTCCTACTTGTTAAATTTGAGATTGCTTATAGCCTTTGCAATTTTTTGGTTATTACTCTGTAATCCGTCTTATCAGTAGTGGAGGATTGCAATCAACTTTCATTTCTTGTTTCAGTAATTGAAATACTAGTTGGATAAGGCACTATTGCATTAGTCAATGCTTTGCTAAAGTAAAAAAAAAAAAAAAAAAAGAAAAGGGACCCTAGAGAGCAGCACAAAATTAATGATTACATAATCAGATGGTTTGGTTTTATCAACTGAGTTGACAACGTGACTTGCTGACGAAGGACTAATGCTCGAAACTTCTCCTGATTGCAGAATAAATATTCATGTTTTTCAGAAGTATATTCCATTTTATCTTTGAAGAAATATCGACAAAATACTGTTAACTTTCAAAAGGATGTGCTTCAGCAGATCTTGGGAAAAAATACAGAATTTTATAGAATTCTCATTATCTAGTTTTTTGCCCCATCCTCATTCCTCTCAGTATGAGTCCGTTGCTCTCAAAAGCTACATTTTGATTTTCAATAAAGCGAAGCTGTGGAGACTGTTGAATGCTGCGCATTTCATCCTTCTTTTCGTAGTTTTCAAGGGTGTGCAATCTTAATCAATATGACCACCATCAAATGCCGCCCATGTTTGCACTATTCAATTAAAAAGGAAAACGAGAAACGTCGATTGACGTGTAAAGCGATAGGCAAAGTAATTTTCACTTTGCGGCTCAGCATGCGGGGGTGTGCATCTTTCAATCATCATTTAGCGAATTAAAGTAGACATTGAAGCTTTACTTATGCAATCATCAAGAATCAGTTAAATCTTTTTTTTTTGTAAACGTCCTCTAAGACTGTCTAATGACTCATCGCATTGAAGGCTCCAGAATATTTTGAATGGGGCAACACGTGTCATCTTTCTATAATAGTAGTGAGGGTTAAATAGAGAGAACCCGTGAGGGCTGCTTAGCAGTGTTTCGTCACGAATAGCTTTTGCGCTTTGAACTGTCACATAACATTTGACCCCAGTGCATTGTTCATTGTCGAGTTTGGATCGCTTGCTTCTGAAAACTGATTTAAAAGTCGAATGCAGACGGTAATTCGGCACTCAGAAGTCAAAATTGAATTCTGTTCAAGGGAAACATACTTAAGGTTTATAAAATTTTACTTTCAGCGTATCAGGTTTTGCTGAATAAATTTTGGGGTCTACCCCGAGACCCTGAGAATACTTTTGAAATGTCAAACAACAAGTTGCCCCTGAGCGCCACTGTCAGCTAGGGTCGACTATATACATTTTTTAAATTTTTAAACCAGTCGTTTGATTTCAATGAAGCCGATGTTTACCTTGTCTTAATAATAAATCCTTTTATCAACGGTAAAAAAGGGTAAAAAGAATGCCGCCCCAGACCTGTACAACACTACAAAATTAAACATTTTTACTGTTCCTTTGCTGCATATGACCGTTTGTGTACATCATGTTACTTTCTGTGATTTTTTTAAGTCTGGTTGTAAATATCCACTGCATGCCTTTTTAAGTGTTCAACTCCGTAGAGCAGGCCTCAACGTTATATATGTAAAGAGTATTATGGCTTAAAATGACTGAGCGCTTTTACTCGGTAAATTCCATTTCACTCTCTTGTCCCACCACTGATTAGATTTTTCTGTGATTCGTGCCGCTTTAATTTCAAGTTGTGCCACTAGACTTCAGCACCTCTCGTTTTTCTTCATAATTTCACATAATTTGGAAATCGTTGTCGTTTTTCTCCTTTTATTGAATATTTCCTCACAATCATGAGAGTACATCTCTTTTAAGCACCACCTTCGCTCATGTTTGTTCGTTTTTCAATTTGTTTACTTTTGCTAGTTTTTTTTTCTATTTTTTTATTAGCGAATAAAATTATTCAAGACTGAATAAAATAAATCTATTTAGAAAGCCGTGCCGAAATCATACTGATTGTCATTTTCTTTTGTAGCTAGATTATGACTTTCGTCTTTTCGCACGTGAGTCATGTCGCACGTTGAGCATGACACCTAATCAGTCTTCGTTTTGCCCAATAAATATGCGCATATCTATGAGATTAGTGAAGCGAGCCGTGTAATTGCACGCGTGCTCTTGCCTTATTCCCTGTTTTCGCGTAGAGGGTCGCAAATATTCTCTTTCGATGGAAAGCAGATTTCATTTTTGATTGTTGAACTTTGCCCTCTGCATGCGACGCTTCATTCAGTTTTTTCGAAAGCAACACAACTTAATACGAGTATTCTAACTTGAAATGACCGATCGCTTTAACAATTATCGAATACATTTATAAAATTTCTAGCGCCAG